TACGGTGTTTGACTGAAATTGTTCTGTCATTACAGGGAATGACTGAAATACTTAGTCAAGCGTTGTAATAATCAAACTGTTACGGTGTTTGCGGGAAATTCGGGGACTGACTAGGCATTCCAGGGAATGACGGATTTCAACGCTTGACGCCAACATTGATATAATGTGACGTCCATGGGCGCTTGCAGGCATTTTTCTTAGGGGGCGATCATCGGTAAGAGATGACCTTTTGCGAAAATGTCCTGCCTGCAAAACTTTTTGAAGAGCAGTGGGTAGCAAATTTTCGGAGAGGGACAAAATCCTTAAAGTTTCCAAAACTGTACAGAAAATCATGCTAAATATGAAAGTGTTAAGCTCCAACTGGATTGCCAGGAGGAGTAAGGCCCCTGCGGGCGCCTATGGTGCCGTCATGACCGAACTTCATTGCGCGAAGGTGACCGGCTACAGCATCCAACAAAAAAAATTGTAATAACTTCCTTAAATTTTAAGGCATAGGATTAATTCTTTCAGATTTGTCAAAAGTGCAAGTAACACTATTATATACAAGTAAAACTAGCAGTAATTTCAATAATATAATAAGAAACGTCCAAGATATATTTTTCATATATTTGCATAACTTCAACTTTTCACAAGTGATACGATCAGTAGCAGTTGAGAAGACCGTTTTGCAGGAAGAACATCCTTATCTACTTTTGATTAGATTTTGCGAATACAGTAAAATCTAAAGTTTAAATTATCCGGTGGTATACGGCCTCAGACTGTCGAGATATATTGGAAAAGAAAAGTGGGTGGAAACATCAAGTATCATAGAGCGATGAAACAAGCGATTGTAGTCTGGTGATTGAATATAAAAGACATTATCAGGATACAAGGAAGAAACTAGAGAAGCGTATGGCTGACTCTAATCAGATTTTATATGAATAGTTACTAAATGATCTTGAGGATGATGTTTGGGCAAAAGTGTACAAGATAGACATGAATAAGCTAAAACTCACAGACAGCCTCTACCAGGAACAACAAATGAAAATTAAAGAGGGTTTGCTTCCCAGTGCTCGCTCACGGGGTGGAGGTTGGAAGAGGCATAAGTGAGCTGGAAAGATGCACTTAAAAACGGGTAATGCACTATAGCTCAAGGAGGTACCAAATGATATCGTGATAGCGTGTTTTTTAAAGAAATACCATAAATCGTGCCGCGTACAATGAAGGAATGCTTGAGAACGGGAATCTTTCCAAAGAGATAAAAAAAAATTGCTTCGTATTTACCCCAAAAACTCTAAACCCCACAGACAAGAATTTTAAATACAAATCTCCTTGTCTGCTGAGTTCGCTGGGAAAGCTACCACAACGAATTATATATAGAAAATACGTTAAAGAAAAGAAGGGACTGTCTCCCATGGAATATGAATTCAGAAAGGGAAAATCTGCCAGAGATGTACTCAGTGCAATCGTGCAGCTGGCGAAAGCATTGGGTAGCGGCAGCTACAGTACCACTTGACCTGCTGGCCAAATAAAAACACATACCATATGTATTCAATATGTGGTTTTATTCTATAATTTCATAATATTTAATAACTCAGCCACAACGGCAGAACATTGTTGGATCTCCCGAGAAACTATGCATCCCTGGTGATTTATTAAGTTACTCGAGTTATTTTAATGACAGGACGCTTATGGTAGGGAAAAAGGCAATGCACGTAACCATGGGAGTACCGTAGGTCTCCATTCTAGGGCCGCTGCTTTCAAATTTGTTCTACGATGGGGTGCCAAGCAAGGTGAGAAATACACTAGAAAAGATTCGGGTGCATAGAAACACGAGCTATATGAATGAATAAGAATGGATTGAAATTACCTCCTGGGAGGAGAAATGGTGATACTTTCTGGCAGTCAGAAGCTAATTTCATTGGCTGTTAGGGTTGAAAATACCTAGATACGAAGCCGGCATTCGATTGAGTATCTCTTAGTGTTGCTTGGCAGAAAATAACAACACATTACACCACTGATTGCACAAGTAGAGTCGATGCATCCCTGATATTGCTGATGCCATCTGATGGAGGCCCCAGTAGCGAGAGGCGTAGGATTTTGGCATTGATGGAAAACTGTATTGTGTCTTGAGGAAAAAGAAATATAGGCAGGTAATGTCAGCGGAAGCTGGTGCTGCGCCTGGTCTGCGGTAAGAGAACAATGTCAACGGATGCATTGTTGGTTCTCCTGCTGTCTGATGAGAGATGCACACTGTATAAAAGGCGCTGAAGCTAGAGATGGTGAAGGTTGGGTGCTTTTTGTTAGACATCAGGAGGGATGGGATGCAAATGAATGGCGCACGAACTAGAAGGCTGAACCCAGATATTAATACCTGGAACGACAAGGGAGCGGTGTGGATAGATTACTACAACTGCCCACTTCCCCACAGTACGTGGCTATTTTGACTGCTACCTAGGTAAGGTAGAAAGTAGAGAGTACGCGAACTGAGTACATTGCAATGACGAGGAAGATACTTCTGATCATACACTAAAGTGTGGTAAATGGATTAACTACCGGAGACAGCTGGAATTGATGTTCGACGAGAAAGACGCTGCTGATAAGCGTGTAAGCAAGGTTAAACAGATTAACATTAAAGCAACCGTGAGGCGGATGATGCTGAGCTCAGACACGGGATGATAAAAACGAACCAAGGAACCAACAGTAGGTTCCTACATGCTCAATTGTACATTGTACAGGATGGTCAATATAACTTCACCTCTCCCCTTATCTCAAAAACTACCCAGCATACAGAAAAATATTTTATTTTATTATATGTTTACATATACTTCTGCCAGAATGAACGTTAACTCCATTTTTATAAATTACAACCCATAACATATTTTGAATGAGAAACCCTATACATTTTTAGATAATTAAATTCGCATTAATTTGATATACAAGTCATATGTGTATACTCAAACAAAGGATTTCAAAGCTACAGCAGTTTCCATAAGTATTGCTATTAATGGATGCTTAACGTTCATGTATTTTCAAAACATTTAACTTAAGCTTCGATGTCCATCAGATGTAAGATCACATGCATTATGGCTAATTATTTGATCAAACAACAATAAATTAGAACAAGTAACATTGACAAAAACAGTGCTAATTAATATAAGTTCTGTAAACGACAACAAATTAAATTAAAATACTTGCCTGAAAATACCAGTCCCTTGTTTTGTCGCAAAGTGTTACACTTAACTGTTCACCTCTGCAGTTAATTGCTGAGGAGGATAAGAAAGAAAATTCAACCTCGGTTTTATTGTCAAGTTTGGCACTGTTCTTCTAACCATTTTTGTCATACTGCCAGAGTTAAACCTAGACAGCGATTCGTGTAAATCACTGGTTTGACAATTGTTCATTTGCTCGGTTCGCAGTTTGAACTTTGGTGTATATTTTGTGTTAAAAGGAATGGTACTCATAGGATTGTTTTTAGAAAATTCTTCAGTAGTTCTGAGGTTATTATTTTTGTTATTTTTTTAGTTTATTGTTCGTTTATAGTATTTTTTACTGTTATTGCTGTTTGTATTCTGTAATTGATTGGTCATTTATAGTCTAAAATCGTTATTATTAATGTCACTGTTATCTTTTCTAATACGTTCTTGTTTATAGCAATTATATTAAATGTTCTTGTTAATGTTACTTGTTCTTATTTATCGATGAGTTGTAGTCTAAAGTTGTTATTATCGATTATCATTGCAATATAATTGTTAGTTTGTATCTTGTTTTTTAGAATATACAAAAAACAAATAACCTCCAGATGTGTAGTGTATCTTCCAAGTGTATCTTCCCAAATACACTACACACTGTGAAAAATTAATCAATTGAAGATTCATATTCCAAGTGATCTTCTAATAGAATTATATAAAAATACCAGTAAATAACTTATGGAAGGTACACATATTGTTGTTAAGCCTGCTGTAGCTTTGAAATCCTGTACAGGGCTTACATATATTCATAGATACATAAAAATGTATAGGGTGTTCAATTTAAAATAAGTGAGTTATTTTACTTTTAATTTGTCAAGGTTTAAGTGAAGTGGACTAGACAACTATTAGTTGATATAAATATTTTCTCTCATAGCATTGTGCTATTTTGTGGATAACTGAAGTCGGGTGTAAAATCCGATGTGATAAGATATAGGGGTTACTATTTAAATAAATGAAGGTAATGCTCACTCTGGCGAAAGTGGACATCCTCTAGACGGAAAAATATAATTAGATAATATCTGATCCAAACCAAGTTACTTTTGGATGTAACGTTTGTCTGAATACTGGATAGTTTCTGAGATAAGAGGATGGATCAAGTTATATTGGCCACCCTATACATAGGTACGAATGTAAGTATGTACATATCTGCATGATAGAAAATAAAACTTAGCGTAATGCGACTGACGGTTTTAGTGAGGACGCCGCTTTTCCCTGTATCCCTATAGGTGTATAATCTTACCGTTCTCCGACAGACATCCTTAGTACTCAGATGCATAAATTGTTCAAGAATAATAGTGAAAATGAAATTTTCTTCGGCCAGAGCAAATAATACCTCAAGTATGGCCCGTAATAACCTTTTTGTATCCACACGTGTTACAGGACGAATATTCCTATATAATAACCATTACTTTTGGATAAGTTATGTGAAAAGTGTTATTTATTCTTGATATAATCTTTTTCACATAGATGCAAGTCTAAACTATCAATGATAGTTGCAAAACTTAATTTTCTGTAACTAAAGCAGATAACTTAAGTAAATATAGAAAAAGCTTGAGCAGACAATGTTCTTTGTAATATTTTTATTTAATTAAGATGAGTTAAAAACACTCATGCTACATACATGAGATTTAAGTAATTGACGGTACCGTCCATAAAAGATAACTACCCATTTCTGCTTTTAAAATTTCCTCATGGCAGTACTCAATGAGATAATAATTTTATCTCTGTTACATCAGATATATACGATACACGAAACGGATTTTTTGGCAGTCTACAAAGTCATAAAACAGTATCGATAATAATAAGTTATTCTATGACAAAATGGAGTGCTTGAAGTATTTTATACTTACTGCAGGTGAATATTTAGATAAGTTGGCATTCGTGTTATATGGTCATAGTAGGTGTAGGTACCGCTGCTATACTTTAAAAATGAAAACCAAATTGATTAGCAGATCAACAAAATTCGCTCAATGATGATTATTTAATACAACTAGACATTCGCTTGGAAAACCCAAGCAAACTGCGTTTTTTAACGTTTCTTAAGCTTCTGATTATTTAGTTAATTAGGAAATGTACACATATACAAAAAGTGTATGTCTATACATGTTTCACATTAAAGGATACATGTAATTAACAATTTTGGTATATATAGTATACACACAAGTTAAAATTCAAACAACACATCAAAAAAAAAAAATATATATATATATATTGACGGTAGTGTGTTTGGTGGTGTACTCCCCGCATACACCGTACGGTTTTTTTTATGAGCAGCAAATACCTGATATATGCGAGATGAGACTCCCCAAAGTATCAACCCGCAAGACAGTATTGACTGTACTAACTCAAAATTAGCTGTTTTTAAAACATTCTCTAAGACTGTTACACGAAGGTTCCTTATAACAAACAAATAATCTTCTGATCGATCATTACACTGACGAATCTGGTGACATCTAGCATTTCAATTCTGGATTCATCAATTATTGTTACTAACAGTGATACGTCTAGTGTCCAATTTTTTGGGATAAAGCACAAGTTGGCTTTTGCCCCATTAAGGATTAGTGCATTGTGGTTGCACCATACCTGAAATTGACCCACCGATGTGGTTGCTCTAATTGTCGTGTCATTAATATTTTACCTGATGTCACAATGTTTGATTCCTCCGCGTAGCGAATATTTTTATCTGCAATTAAGCATGATGCATTTAAGTCATATATAAATAGCAGTAATAATAAAAGACTGATTATTGATCCACAACAATAATTCATATTCGGCATGTGAGATATGATTCTATCCACTAATTTGATACGCCTCTTACACCGTTCCTTGAAAGTTTTTCCAATAATATTATTGTATGGTTCACTGTGTCAAATGACTTGCTTAGATCAAAGAATGTTGCAATTAGAATTTACTTTTCATTTGAGGATTCCATATGAAAGCGCAAAAATCAATTATAGCTGTAGATGTTGATCTGTTGGTTTGAAAGCCAAGCTCTACATCACTAATCGACTTATTACTTTCATTGCTTAATATGATGTAGTAGCACATATCTATGGTTATACTTAAAAAGTGTGACTGTAAGCAAACATTTCTGTAACTAGCAACATCTTCTTTAGGTCCTTCATTCTCATATATGGATATGGCTTCCAATATCTTTAATTCGTATGGGTATTCACCGTTTTTAAATGATTTGTTGTTTAGATAAGCTAATGAGGCATAATACCAGCTGCTGGTTTTGAGGTAGTTTTTTGTATCATATCTTCAATTTCCTCTGGTGTAGTTGGTGTTAAAAAAATAATGCGCTACAGAACGCGCTACAAATTTCCGCAATCTGGATTTGGGCGCAAAAAAACCTTGAAGTAGTTGTTTAAAGCATTGCAGATCTTATGAGTATTGTCAGCTATATTATCATGGTATTTCATTTCATTTGGATCTTTTTGACATGTTTGAACTCTGCTTTATTATATTCCAACTTTCTTTTGCAATATTTTGAGCTTTGGTTAGTCTATCATGGTTATAATTGTATGATCAAACGAACTTTCCTGTAAGTGATGTTCAATCTTAATTATGTGATGACCCCGTCGAAGTAAATAGAACAGGTGTAATGACCCGTTTCCCGGCCAAACCAACGAGTTCAAAGCACGCACGCAGCGAAGAAAAGCTTGCCGCGGTCTCCCACCTTCCTCCTCCCCGCGTCTCATTACTGTGGGCTGTCAAAACTGTGACACACCTAGGCCACTCTCTGCTAAAACACACTTTATTCATTTACATATAATGGGAATAGAGGCAATGATAAAGTTTCTTTACAGTGACAAATAAATAGTTTGCACAGATATTTGGGCGTAAAATACGGTAAAACTAGACTAAATTTCAATATTATTCAACCCGATCCGGATGTTGTCTGTTTCAATTAAGGGCAGTGTTTGCACACTCTGACCTGAGGTTAGGGCTAGCAGCGTTGCTGTTTTCCTCATCAGAATATCTAGAGGGGTCACCAGCAACCCCTCGAGATGCTTGTGAACAGCCACAGTATCTTAAATGGGGACATACAGGGTACGGCAGAGAGGACGGACGTTTTTGGCATGGGTAGTACTCTCCGCCTCCGTCTACGAGAAAGGTGGGGAAGGTGTAGTTTGACTCGTGGACGGTGGAGCACCGCGTTTTCGCCTAGAGTTGTTTCGTCCGAAATAATGAGTCAGTCATCGTCGTACAGCGTGAGTTTCGTCGCCACTCCAACATTCATCGTAATAGAGCTGTTCCCTCTCGAAACACCATCCTTCGTTGGGTTGAATCACTTCGCAGGCGTGGTGAACTGATCAACAGAAGACCAAGAGGAGCGCCGCGAACAGTTCGAACTCCTGAAAATGTTGAACGCGTTCGACAGGTCTTTCTTCGCAGTCCGACTCGATCTGCCCGGAAACATGCTGCTGCACTTCGCCTTAGTGATCGTTCGGTAAGGCAAATTTTGCATATGGATCTCCGCTTTCACCCCTACAAATTGGCCATTGTGCAACAGTTACAGTCCGGAGATTATGCACAACGAATGAACTTCGCACGTGAGATGGAAGCACTGATCGATCAAAATGAGAACCTCATTTTGTTTATGAGTGACGAAGTTCACACAGCCCGAGCATCCATGGACGTTATTCGCCCTCTCTTTCCTGGTCGCCTTATTTCCAGGTTTGGCAATGTTCATTGGCCTCCTCGGTCCCCAGATTTATCCATATGCGATTTTTTCTTATGGGGACACCTCAATGCTAGAGTATACGCGAACAAGCCCCGAACTCGAACGAATTGAAGGACGAAATTCGCGTGCAAGTCGCCCAAGTTGAGAGAGCGATGTTGGAGAGAGTCTACGCGAACTTCCAAGAACGCCTCCAGCACTGCATCAACGACTTCGGCCACCACATGCCTGATGTGATTTTCCACACTTGACTGTCTCAAATGCTATTTCCTTATTAACCTGAGTCCATCAATAAATTTGTTTTCGAGTAAAAGTTAACTATTTGATGATATTTTTAAAACCGTCCATCCTCTCTGCCGCACCCTGTATTTCGGTTGCGATGATCCCAACCTATGAAAATCCTTCAAAATCCATCTTATGTTTGCATCTTTAGTAACATTTTAGGTAAAAGACTGATAGCTGTCTTATAACAAATCAAAAAGTTATATCTTAATCTCTTATCAAACTGTAAGGTGAGAAATGTCAAGGCATTGGTTATCACGGTGGAAAAACAGACATGTATTTCTCCCCGACCTTTGTTCTCCCGTAATCTGAGCCCAAAATCATATTACCAATTGTAGACGCTGATCGGAATGACAGTTTTCCAGGAACGACAGCCAGGGTAAGCTTCAGAATTATTGGAAGCATGGTCCTGGGTTCCTCCACCAGAGTTCAAAGGCGTTACTTCTAGAAGCGAAATTTCAGGGTCACCAAACACATGAACCAATAACAGGACGGTATCAGTATTACTTCTGCATTTTATATTTGACGCGAGGGCAGTAAGATTTCTCTTTTTTCAAAACAGCTATAGCTCTCCCGCAACCTAGTCCAGGCGTGGAAACTGGGAGCTCCACATTCTATTGATATACGATCAAGTTGTATCATTATAAGTGGGGTATAATATTCGACAGCCCCTCAAGTCGCGAGCAAAAAAATTAACTACCGAAGAAAACTGCTATTCCATATTATTGGCTCGCGGGATCTTCTTCTCGGGTGACCAAAAGCCATAAGGCTTTTGTTCTGCCCATGTGAATGACAACTGAACCCTCGAATCCAGCTCAGGACTTCAGCGCCACTCCTAAAGCTCTGCCATTGATGATGAATACTCGCCAGTATCCCTGCTAATGTACGCACCTCATTTGTAATCGGTGATGACTGATGTTGTTAGTACGTTGTCCGGCCTTTTGGCCGTCAGTTTCTGCCCAAATTTATCTGGTTTCCATTTAGAATTGACTTGTTTGGTCAGGCTTAGTCCGAAGAGCAAAGTAGCAATGTAAGCCTTTGTTAGAGTGCTCCTGAGTTCTTCGTTTAAATTGGCCGCATAAGCTATTGACGAACCCCCTTTCTTCGAGCATGAAGGAGAGAGTATTGGCAATTAGGAAGTTTCCTATAGTCGAAAATACTGTCTGTCGTCCTTGCATCTGATAATATAACTAGTATCTTTGACAAATCTGAAAGAATTATTCCAATAACTTTAAATTTAAGGAAGTTATGGCATTTTCTGTGTTGGCTGCTGTAGCCGATCGGCCTCGCGCGTCAAGGTTCGGTAGTGACGTCACATGAAGGAACGTCGCACGTGGTAGTGAAGCGGTCGACATATCGCATCCTTAGCGCTCAAGCTGACAAGACTTAATTTATTGTTTGAATCTTGGCGTAGACTGTTGTATGGTAGTATAGGTGTAATAATTAAAACGGAAAAAGGTTTTTTACGTGCCGATTCCACAAATCTTTTAAAGGTGGACATAATAATGGTAATGAATTTCTTCACAAACAATCCACTTTATGTTTGTACGGAAATACGTAAGTAAGTAAACAGTATGATTCATTCTATACAACTCTGATAACGTGAACCCATTTTTTCAACCCTTTGCCTGCGACTATACCATACTGTGGACTTATAAAAGTGGCGGGGTATTATGGATGATATTTGGCTTTATTAATTTTCTAAATAGAAGAAAATGAAAACATGCTTTGCATGCATCAAAAAATTTAGGATGACCCAAACTCCAGCGAATACGTTTGATAAATTAATAATAAATTCAGTATCGCGCGGTGAGCAGAAAATCAACTGTTTGAACTGAAATTTAATCCAACGCCAATAGGACTTGATGGCCGTCCGGCATTTGTTTGTTTGTTTCAGATTTATTTAGCATTAATGCTACAATATCCATATTACACAGTATATCACAAAATATATTATGTCGTCAAGAATACATATTTTTCTACAAAATTTCAGTACTATGAATTCTGGTTTTCCAGGAGATATTTTTTCAGTTTCCCTCCGAACATTTTCAAACTGACACACATCTTGATATCATTACTTCACAGCATTTTAATAATTCTTTCGTAATACTTCACGATGTCCATTTGTTAACCAGGAGTAGAATCAATGATTCGTCATTCATTTTTGGGTATTGTTATTTGGCTGTGGTCATTATAGGTCTGGAAGAGACACCTATGCAGACGAGGCGATTGGTTATGTGCAGTTAAAAAGAGAACGGGATATCTGTATTGTAAACGCCAGGACTACCCCCGAACATAGAGTTAAAAGCAAACAGTGTCATTGCAGTTTTGAATGCGACGAAAAGGAGGAAACAGTAATCAAGCTAGAATGCAGTGGTTGTGCTGCACAAGAGGGTGGCTATAACCATGGTGTAGCGCTATTAATGTAGCTGCAGAGAAGAAGCGAAGAACCACCATGCACTTCTGGGAAGTGCTACTGGAGAAATGCCAGATTATCTACTATTGGCAGTAATCTAAAATTCATAGAAGCCTCTCAGATGATTACACATTAAGCCCACACTTGACCGACGCCTATGTATTTGAACAGTGTTCCCCCTACAACCCCAAGATGATCACTATACAAATACTCACATTATCTCGAAATGAAAGCAATAATCAAATCTATTTCTGTTCTCCTTTCAACCATTTAGATTCTTTACCTTATCATGCGATTAATACAGACTAAGACTAGTAATAATTAGCTAAATAGCTGCTTACATCAAAATGGGATTCACAGCAAAACAACGTTGATGTTTCCGACAGCGGCAGTTTATCATCCCTATTGATTACCTTGCACCACTTCTTTCTAATACTTCGCTGTTTTGCACACAGAAAAAATGTTTATCTGGAGCTGATATTCTGGTATTTGTACACCTAGGTACAATAAAATATTTGTACGTTGAAGGTTTGACCTACTTTTTACTCATTGTTAATAATAGGGTGAAGCATGTGTGGCGCGGCGCGGCGGGCGCATCTCCTTGCAGTGGTGCTGGGCTGTGACGTCATCGCTCACTCGCCCCCCACTCCAAATAATAAGCTTCTGACTAGCGTAACTTTGTTATTTTTCAAGATATTAAAAAAAAAATTTCAGCGCTGTACTTCATTTTACTTAGACCATCATTTTGAGTGTCTTTTGAAAAATAGGAAACTTCCTCATTGTATTTTAATGAAAAACACTCACATGTTGCTGTACAGATACGAAGCGAACATCACTGAGTACGACACTACTTTTTATAGCGCTACTTCAGGGTTCACCGTAGGTGGCTAAAATAGAATAGAATTTATTCATCTATCGCCATCAACGAGTTATGCCCTCGAAATGTTAGCCCTAAAAAAATGCGTGAACATTACACTAAAGTCGCCGCATCATCGTGGCTCCATAGTTATCACAAACTAAATGCAATTTGCTATCACAAGTAAAATGTAACGCTATAACGTAGTCCATTTACACCCCGGCACAACAATGATGCAGCGCTGCAAAACGACAAACGTGACAAGAAGAGAGATTTAAATATTCATGCAAAAGGCATTGTCCTTAACGTCTATAAGAGCGAAATTTCAGAGCATCCTGAAATGAAAATTCATGATATTGAAAGACGTGTGGCGAACAAAACAGGCTTATGTCCTAAGACAATTTTCAACATTGTTAAAGAATATAAAAAACACAAAATTGTCTCCACCACACAAGAGGCTGCATGACATGAAGCTGTTGGATACAGTTGATAACTTTGATCGGAATGCCATCAGACGCGTCCATCATTTTTTTGAAAGGCAGGAACTTCCCACCATAGTCAAAGAATTACAGGAGGTTGATAGTGATGAAGACTTTTACCTACTTTCAAAACGATCACATTCTATAGTTTACTCAAAGAACGTCATTTTGAGTATAGAAAACGGGGCAGAAATAGTATTTTGATGGCCAGCCAAGAGATTATTTTATGGAGAAAAAAATGATTTAAAATCAATAAAGAAATACTGCGACCAGGGCAGGAAGATTTATTACTTGGATGAAACCTGGATAAATGTAGGACATACAAAACCTTAAAGTATGCACTGACTCTACAATTAAATCCGCAAAACAAGCCTCTTAGATGGACTAACTACTGGCCTAACGATCCGTCAGGTACGTGTAACTAACCAATTCGTCATTTGTGTTTTAAAAATGGTGTCAAGTAGACTAAGTAAATTTAGCTGTATCTGGTAGATTTGGAAACAACACCTCTGCTTATATTATTATTAGTTTTCTTGAATACTATATGAAATAAACATTTTCAGGAAAAGGAAAGCGGTTTGTTATCTGTCACATTTTCATAGAAGATGGACTTGTGCCCACTGCCCTATGGGCATTTGAGTCAAAGAAAGCGACCTAATACCATGAAGATATGGACGGGAGTAGATTTGAACGATGGTTTGAAGAAACGATACCAAAGTTTGACGACAATGCCATCATTGTACTTGATAATGCATACCACACTAGAAAACTAGAAAAAAATCCCACAATAACCACAAGAAAGGCAGAAATTCAACAATGGTTTCTATCAAAAGGCACTAGTTTAAATGAAAATATGGTCAAAGCAGAACTTATCCATCTAGTCAGGCAGCACAAATATAAATATAATCATAATGTTATCGACAAAACGGCTAAAAACCAAAATAAGACCGTTTAAAGGCTACCTACCCCCTTATCGCTGCGAATTGAATCCCTTTGAAATGATTTGGGGAATTATAAAAAACTATGTGGCTTCAAACAATAGAACATTCAAATTTTCTGACGTAAAAAATTTGTTTTATGAATCTGCCATCAGAGTGACGGCAAACCATTGGAAATGTTTTCCCCTTAAACATGTTTGGTATCTGGGTAGCTAGACCTGGCAGACTAACAGACCGACGAGACTTTTAACTAAGAGCAAAGGTCCACCGGACCGCTCTGACGAACAATGATGAATAGTACCATTGGAAAGATTGCATCCGTCACGTTCAAGAGACAATCGAAATAAAAATATGGACAAGATGATCGATATTTAAATTGACCCTCTAATAATTAATATTAACCATTCGGACGATGATTCAAGTACTTCCAGCGAATAAGGGACTGTGAAAAGTTTGTGCACTTCTTTCTATAAAAATAATGATTTATTTTGTAAGATTATTCCAAGACCATTGAGGGAGCGGTGGTAGACTCTTCGGTCTCCTGATCAGTCGCCGTGCGCTGCGCGGGTTCGAATCCTGTCCCATGAGAAATTTTTCTCTTGGCTATGGATGTTGTGATTGTCCGTAGGTGGTCGCCAGAGTCCATGTGGCGTCCCCCCTTTCCCCCTATAGCAGCACGGTATCCATGGGTGTTTAGGCCTTAGCCTTCGTGGTAGTTGGAATATAAAAAAAAATACGGACCTGTACAATCTCGTTGTTGGGCATGTTGTGTTTTGTCTGTGCGTAAATGAACTACGAATGGGGTATAGTCTTGCATATAATTACCCAATCTGTATCTGTTATTAATGTAAAATGGTACTGCAACGGTTTCCTAACCTGTCACGTGCATACTTACAGCGCCTGTTCCATGGCTATCACAAACCGAATTGACGCGAAGGCATACCTAAGCTTGAGAAAGATAACCAACAACCACGTTGATTTAAATACAATATACTATATGAGGTTTCGGCTACCACGATGGTGTTTTCCAAGAACAATAACATTAATTGCCACTGTACTTGAAAAACTTCGGACAGTATACAGTAATTAAAATATCCTATCAACATAAACACATCCGAATTAGTTACATTAGTATGATATCCTTAGAGTTTAAAACATGTACGAATTTCCTTGATTTAACAAACGTCATCCCGATGTACACTTTTACTGAATTTGGAGGATGTTTTACAATCGGGCTCCATTATTCTATATTGAAACTTGTGAATCAGTGCCAACGTCTTTCAGTGCTGAGCCAGACACTAGCGCAACACTGCCTGAGCAGAGACTATGGATATGGTAGTGTAGTATGTGTTTGCAATGCCGAACATTGCGATAGCATAGAACCCATAACTCGTATCGAAAAATCTTCTTACGTAGTCTACACGTCCAATAAAGCAGGACTGAGGTTTGACAAGAAAACAATTAAATTTGATGATGGACAAACGCAGGACCAGAACAAAATAACTGTTGGTGGAACAGTGTATCAGGAGGTGCTTGGATTTGGAGGCGCCTTCACTGACTCTGCTGGTATCAATATTTTGTCTTTAAATTCGACTGTTCAGGAGAAATTACTAGAGTAAGTAGGAATAGTATATTTTAATGTACCTCGGTGGAGGAGTATGCCATCATTTTCACTTCCATTCTCTGAGATACATAGTGCCAACGGGTATAATGTTCGCGGTCATTTATGGCCTCCTCCACCGAGGTATGTATAGAATTGTTTTAGTACTGTTATATTACCACGTCTAATTTAAGTAAGCTTTTAAAAAAAGCGTATATGATAATTTACATAACGTCCGGAAACACTGTTAGAGTGCTATAAATATAGAAGAGTCCACTTTTGTGTTCCACACATTTTCAAATATTCGAATTTATTGAGTAGCCTGGGGCTTCCAAACCGTTAAAATAATGGCTAAATAAGTACCAGCAACAACAATACTTTCAGTCATAAGTTAGATTTACTATTTACTAGTAGTAAGCAATAGTTAATAAAAATATTTAAAGTAGATGAAGTGTTCAATAGCAGTGACAAGTATGTGCTCAACAAACCAAAGAGGATATACATGAATGCCCAGATTGATCATTTATCTAGTTCGCAGGGTTCAGCCGCATTTACATTTTTAATTCTAACGTCACCATACCTAAAAGTGGAGGTACTCAAAAAACTATATCGCTTAGTATATAGCTTGTTCTTGTTTGAGTTACTCATTATTTGTTCTAATAAAAGCCAAGACCTATTTTAGCCTTTAATTATACTAAGTGACATATAAATCCGAACACCCAGTTTAAATGGTTTTATTTTAATAAACTTTTGTATAAGTACTTAATGAAGCATAATAAGTAAATGATAAAAATTTCAAAATAATTGCACTGCTTTAAAGCCCTTTGACCTTTAATAATGTGTGGATGCACCCTGATGTGCTACGCATTCTCCAACGCGCCTAGGCATGCTTCTGATCAGGTGGTCAATGTCCTCCTGTGGTATCTCATTCCAGGCAACCACCAACTCCTCTCGAAGTGCTTCTAGAGTCTGAGGAGGACGTATCAAATTGAGCAATCTCCTACCCATCATATCCCACACGTGCTCAATTGGGGATAAGTCGGGAGATATTGGTGGCCATGGTAACAATGTGACATCATTATGTTGAAAGAAGTCTATTGTGACTCTTGCAACATGTGGTCGGGCATTATCTTGTTGGAAAGTTGGATCTGCCAGGGTGTCAAGATAGGGTAAAAGATGGGGTTCTAGAACTTCGTGGATATAACGCTGCGCATTCATGTTACCTCTGATGAAGATTAAAGGTGACCTGGAACCATAAGCTATAGCACCCCAAACCATAACTCCAACAGTGTGATGAACATGTCTTTCAACAAAAAACTGTGGATTCCTCCTTTCACCACGTCGCCTTCTAACCTTGGCACGACCATCGTGCATGCCTAAACAAAATCGAGACTCGTCACTAAAGACAATACTGTTCCATTCCTGATCCCAGAGTGACCGTTGTCTGCACCACTCAAGGCGATTACGTCGGTGTTCTCGAGTTAAAGGGAGGACCCAGTGTGGCCGGTATGAAAACAAGCCAAAACTTCTCATTCGTCGCTAAACACTTCGCATGTCAATAGGTCTTCCGTGTTCTGCAAGCCATTCATTTGCAATGGACCTGGTAGTGGAGAAACGGTCCCTTAAGGCCAATAATCTTAGGCGGCGATCTTCACGGTGTGTTGTTCTACGGCGGCGTCCAGTGCCCCTTGCTCTTTGCGTACGGCCTTCTCGAAGCCATGCCTGACAACCCCTAACCACAGTGTCTACACTTCTTTGCACTCTAACTGCAATTCCCGAAAAGAAAGTCCAGCTTCCCGAAGTCCCAATATACGGCCCCATCACACTCACTAAGTTGACGAAATCGTACAGGTCTCCGTACTCTAGGCATCGTAACCGATCGTAAAGGATGTCAAGAACCAAAATCCGCCAACGTTGATTCTTCACTGTGGCTGAAATATTCATTTTTAGAGCGTTAGTGAATTAAAAAAAAAAAGCAGTATAAAAATCGGAATGTCCAACTGATAAGGCTGAAAATTTTTTCACTTGTTATTTACAGTAAGATAAATACATTCACCAACTTTTATTAAAATAAAACCATTTAAACTGGGTGTTCGGATTTATATGTCACTTAGTATATATGAACAAGTCGGTAATTTATTTTCTCAGTACACAAAATCGGAATATTATACCCCTCGAAAAAGTCCACTTTTGAATTTTTGCAACATACAGTGGCGGATCCGGATCATTTTTTGGAGGGAGGACCCTTTAGAGTAAGGGTGTCGTCGACTGAAAATTGAATACCAGTTTGCATCAGTGCTTCTGGCAGCGGGGGTGTGTATTTACTGCTCCTTTTTTTCCAATGATCACCTAAGGAACTCCCCCAGTCGCTCACACGTGGATCCGCCACTGACAACATACTTGTATGGTATAGAGACCATTATCGGATTTGTTGCTGCAGATGTTAGTATACAAATCGATATTTATTTCCATTTATTAGTCAGTTATTCAAAAATTCTGGGAAATACCTGTGATGTGAAATATTGATTCTTATCAACATAGTGCTTCAATGATAGTTGCGATACATTATCTTATCTATTTTGGAATGGATCAAATCAGCGGAAATTCTGGAAATTGCTAAATATTACATTTTAGTAAAAAAACAACAGATAAACATCTATACATAAAAAAATAAGTATAATGGTATAGGAGCATGTATCATTTTGTACTTTAAATCTCTGGAATATAAAATATATATCTTTACTAACAAAACAGGGGTATATTCAATATTTACCAAATATTCAACCAGCTGAGTGAATACTAAACATATTGTGGTGCCATCTGTTCGTGGCAATAAGCATCGCTGACTAGCGGATCTACGAGAACCTTCCCACTTCAGTTGACCCACTTCAAGATTTGTACCAAAATATGCCTGTATAAACTAAACATGACGACACTATTTACTTCTAAAACAATTTATTTTCTCAAAAACACTTTAGATACACTCTAGTCGTAAAAATACATATTTGAAATCACTTAGAACTATAACTAATAGAACATCTGAACAAATAAACAATGTGCGAATAAATGCGCGAAGTTAACAAAGCAATAATTGAAAGATTACCATTGGGTAACATCACCTTTATTTTTTACTACGGCTGAAATTCCTTGGGGCATAGTGTTAACCAAGTTTTGGCAAAGAGTTGGTGTAAAACAATCCCATATTTCTTGAAGCTTTTGTCTCAGTTCGGTAATTGTACGAGCAGGATGTTGTCGTAGAACCTTTTTCATCTCGTGCTACAAAGTTTCAATAGGTGACAGATCTGGACTCCTAGAAACCCATTTCAAAAGTGATACATTATTTTCTTCCATCCATTTTATAGCCTTTTTTGAGGTATGGCACGCTGCACCATCTTGCTGAAACACAAAATCTTGGCCGGATGTCAAACATTCTTCCATCACTGGTAAAAGCGATTCTTCTAAAATTGCCAAATATTTGTTTGTATCCACATTTCCAACAATAAAATGAAGTATTCCTACTCCTTTTGATGACATACTGCCCCAGACCATAATGGATGCTGGAAATTTCACTTTTCTCTTCAGACAGTCAACATGGAATGCTTCACTTTTTTGCGAATAACTCTACTGCGACTGTCACCAACACAAACTTCGAATCGGGCCTCATCACTCCATTGTATTGCACACCATAGTTGAGGTGTCCATTGTCTATGTTCTTTAGCCCATCTAAGCCGATTTTTCTTTTGCAGTGGAGTTAATAGTGGCTTTTCTTTGGCCTATAAACAAGTTGTGCAACTTTAGGGTTTTTACTTCACTTTTCTTCACTTTTTTTATAAGAAAACTTAATAATTATCAGTAACCGAATTTTCTCACTAATAACCTTTCCTCCCATTTTGAAAACCTTAGCTACCCAAAACTATTTTAAACGTATTCTGACAGCTGTGATTAATAAAAACAATCGTCATGGCTTTTATTTTTCACAGCCACATATGCGTTATAGACTTATTTTGCATTGAAATGAAAATAGGTTGATATGCTGTAATTGCAACATGTGTTATTTTTATGCTGCAAATTTGATTAGGAAGTGATATAGTGGTGTTTCCTACTATATATTATCAAAATATTCATTGTTAATATTTTAAACCTACATATAACACCCTGCTACATTTTTATTTATTTGTGTTTGATAAGAAAAAAACTAAGATTTCAATAGTTGGGCCAACTGAAGTGGGAAGGGGCTCGTAAACCATCGGAGCACTAACCTCAAACATTTAAGGACTTCTAGAACAGTTCGAGAAAAGATCGTTAAGTGCATAAAATGCAGATCCAGAGATAGAGTGAATACCGTTCAGTGCAAGGAGTAATTGATTAATTTTTTAGTGAATATGTTTGCGTTTTCGTTACAATAGATTAATAGTTTAGAAAATACAGAAAATTGCTACCTTGAACTTCATGATATAAGAACAGCTTAACATTTTACTTTGAAATGCAAACAATTCAAAATCAATATTTCGTCAATTTTTTGTTGACCTGACGTAAAAGCTAGTATTTTCGTTCGTAACTATCGGATATCCGAATACCAATTTGCTGAACCAAACCGTTCAAAAGATAATTGGGATCGAGTACTAAAGAAGACCACCCTATATTTCATAGCATGTCTTTTCTCAGCTCTTATTTTTCGGATCGTGGAATAGAATACAACTTGTGCCGAGTACCTGTAGGTGGCACTGACTTCTCCACTCGCAGATATTCCTATCATGATGATGCCGAAGATGCTAGTTTGGGTAGTTTCAACCTGCAGGATGAGGACTATAAATATAAGGTGAGGTTGAAAATTTGGATCATTTCTGGATTCGACATTTATGGGTCGAGATTTGGTATTTAAATTTGCAGAAATCTACTGAGTGCAAAAATTTGTCGCTTGGAAACCACTTATTTCTGGAAACCTCACCATTTTTAAAACAATGCCAGTGTCAAGTCTATAAAGAAAAGTTATAGAGAAAAATTAAATAATCCGAAAAACTGGTTTTTGAATGTGACTTTGTATAGGCCAAGAGCCCGCGACGAACAGACATGATTTTATAATACCTGGAAGTTTCTCTGTGCCTATCCCAAATACAGGTAAGAACCGGCAGCAACTATGAAAGGATAGTAGTACTTTGGCAGGTAACAGGTACCAAATGTGTACAAAATAGTATACCTCAAATTCGTTAAACTATAAAGCCCAGTTTATTGATATTTTCTTCAGAATAATGTTAGAAATGAAGTCATCCATTGTCGTTCACTTTCAACCCTTTCAGGCAGCAGCGGTGGTCGCAGTAGTCGGTCTCCTGATCAGTCGCCGTGCGCTGTGCGGGTTCGAATCCCGTCCCAGGAGAAACTTTTCTCTTGGCTATGGATGTTGTGATTGTCCGTAGGTGGTAGATGGTCTCTGACTGTCAAACGCGGAGGTATCACCCGGCGGATCTCGTAAGCGGAGCCAGAATGTGTGCTTGTTGCATGCTATAGCCCCACGGTACCCAATGGGTGTTTAGGCCTTAGGCCTTCGTGGTAGTTGGAGTATTAAAAAAACCCTGCCTGACATCCCTAAACAGTAATAAATTAGAGTTGAACTGTCGATATAGTATTAAAGCTGAATTTTATATGTTACTTGGGGGACTATCAAAAGGAGTAGCGGTAAAGTTTTAACGCTTTTTACATTTTGCCAGACATTGAAAATCTGCCGTAAGTGCAACGAGAGGCGAGGCAGGTACCTAAAACAGTTGAACACAAAAATTGTAGCCAACAGTATGCTCCTAATTTGGAAAATATTTGCATCTCTACAAGGTGATTCATAATTATGTGATGAGCCAATGATGCATTTTTTACATGGAAAGCCCTACATTTTAATACATATTTGTATAGACCTTTCAAACGAAGCAATTTGATATAACATACTCTAGCGTGTTATTTTCAAATTGTTTCTAGTGGACAAACTATGCAATAAAGTCGAAAAGTCAAGGCGTCCTTAAAAAGCTCATAGTAAGGAGAATCAAACATTTTGTAAAAATAGTTCATTTTTCCTTCTTCACCATCCTGCATAAATTATCAGAAAAAAGGTAGATAGGAACAGCTATAACAGTAGCGGAGGTGGGACTTGTAAAAGATGATTTTCGATAGATTTTCCAATATCTCAACAATTTAAAAATCAAACCTTATAGAATGTTACATCAAACTGCCCAGTTTGGAAGGACCTATCTAAATCTGTAAGTGTAGAGCTTTCCATTTGAAAAAATAGATGTTTGGTCAACACGTAGTTATGGATCACTCTTGTGAGATACGAATACATTCCAAATTAGGACCATCTGTTGGTTACAATTTTTGTATTCAACTTTTAGATACCTTGCATAGTAACGGAGCTATGCACCAAGTATGTTGCCTCGCGCTCGCACCTGCGACAGACTTTCATTGTGTCTGGCAAAATATAAACACCATTAAAACAGTCTTGCTACCTTTAGTAGTTCCTCAAGTAACATATGTATGTAAAATTCAGCTTTCATGCTGTAATGAAAGTTTACTTTATTGAAGTTTAGAGGTGTATGGCAATGGGTTACCACTGTACCCTGACCGGCAATAGATGTCGTCATTTCTAACATTGTTCTGAGGTTAGCTGTATACTTTAACGGATTTGAGCTACTATTTTTACACGGTTTTGCCACGAGTTACCTGCCAAAGTAACCACTATCCACTAACCAATCACCAATCAGCCGGCAGCACGGAAACGGCCATCAAAAACTATACACGGGGCTGAATGCTGAACCTGTATTGGTAATGCCCACGGACACTATTGTCCCAGTGGACAATTTCAAAAAAAACTATCAAACAATAGTACCAGAAAGGAAAGCGTGAGAGAAGCACCTCGTTCCTATACGTGCTAGAAGCTACTGGTACACAGACCTCTCAAAAACTAAGACGGAGCTAGAGCTGGGATTTATGGGGCAAGGCCAAAAACTAAGATCTCTATAAGTCCAGATAATATTGCAACAGTATTTCCGGCTGAAGTAAGGGCCATACAAGTCTGCGCAAAAGAGCTAATAAGGAATGAGACTATAAATGAGTCGATCGCCATCTGCTCAGACAGCCAGTCAGTCATAAAGACATTAAGTTCATCGCAAATGTTGTCTAAACTAGTATGGGATTCCATGAACACTCTCAAAGAGCTGGGAAACCGAAACAAGATAACATGCTCTAGGTACCAGGACATGAAAGGCACAAAAGACATGAAAAGATAGATGATCTAGCCCGGCAGGGTGCGGCCAATCGCATTATAGGTCCAGAGCCTATCTGTGGTGTGACGAGAAAATGCACTAAACAGTCCATAAGAAATTGGACCCTAGAATGGTGGAACAGCCAATTGGGACAAAGGCAGGCAGAAGAATTCAACAAAGAACGAAGGGCCGCATGTACAGAGAACCTACTCTCATCCAATAGGAAGCCAATAAGGGCCATAGCGGGTCTCCTGACAGGACACTGTTGTCTAAATCGACATACGAGGCTATTGGGTCTGGCAGAAGAGGCCACTTACCACTTCTGCAGAGATCATGATGTAACCCCAGTGCATCTCCTGTGTCACTGAGAAGGCCTGACAAGAATAGTAGGAACCACAGGTCCAACATTGGGTCACAATATCCGTTTCTTCTGTAATATATAACAATTATCCAGTTTTCATTGTCGCTAATCATTAGCACAAGCTTGTTTCTGTGGGATTTCTGTTTGTTTACCATTCTTGATTCTTACCTACGCTGGGACATACGCAGACCTCCCGGTTTTTATAAAATAACGAAGGTATGGCCGTCGCAGGATGTTGCTTTATAAGAGACAAATTCTTGAGGAGATAATAGTCTAGGTCTCTAGGTTATTTTGAAATTAATTAACATAATCTGTCAGTTCTGACTCATTTTAGCCATGCTCACACCATAGCGTAAGGAAGTCAAGTACTCGGATTGCCAGAGTTCCATGGCTCTGTGCATAAATACTATTCTATGCCCGTAACACTGTGTGTTAAGCATGAGTATGCGCAATTTAAGCTAGCTACGGTGTAAACATGGAAATGCGATTAGTTTTCGCGGAATTTAAGTTTGACGTTCCAACGCAGAACCTATACAGTAACGGGAAAGATGAGTGAGAGCAACGTAAACGTACATCGCATTATTCATTGTAAAGAGTCACTTCAAAAAACTAATTTTTCTTTACGAACAACTGTAACTTGAAACTTCTCTTGTGGTTGTTTATCTGATTAGATAACATAGAAATTAAAATTGAATTACGACTGAGCAGCTGCCTTATGACGTATCTAAAACCTTGTAACATGTCAATGGAGTACACGGGGCCAGGGGTAAGGGGTCGAAGCTGTCCCCCTTTTTCCTGGCTCAGCGAAAATTAAATGGAGAAAACGTTTTTTACAAAAATTAAATTATTCATGTACATGGTTCTCTGCAAGCTGAATCAATATGCATAAATGACATAATAAAGAAAATCAAAGTTGAGACGGACGATAAGAGACAAAAAATCGTATTAATATTCTACTTATGCCACCTTGCAGATGTCAAAAAGTGGCAATGTCAATGTGTACTTCATTTTGAAACCCTATCTCAAATAAATTCAGAAAATACTTGAAACAGTTTTAGGAAAAATCGTTGCTCTTTCCGTGTATCTGTAGACTCTGGAAGCGTCAAAACTTTTCAAATGCATTTTCTAAAATATATAAGTACGCAACTTTGCCACCGTTCAACCGACCCGTCATATATTATCTCAAGTTTTGCTTCCAATTATTGCAAATGGCTATCGCGCAATATTTGCCCGAATGTTCAGTTACCAAGAAATAAATAAACTTAGTAGTTTTCCATATGGATATGAATTGTCAAATCGTCATGGAAGACTCTATATAATTGAAATGGAAGAAAAGAACAAAAATATCAAGCATCGTTATGTAAATACCATTTGCGAAAAAAAGTTTTTAACTTGTAACAAGTCAGCGGAAAATTGAATGAATTCGATTTAATTCACTCCAGATCCCCATCGTAAAACGAGCAGCAGCTCTCAACAAAGATTTGGAGCTCTTCGCATCTTCCTGGACGGCGCCAAAATGGATGAAAGTAGTCGACTTCCCAGCAGGACCTTTCGGATATTTGAAGGAGATATACTATCAAACATGGGCGGAATACCACGTAAAGTTTTTAGATGCATATGCCAAAGACAACATTACTTTCTGGGGCATGACTACCGGAAACGAGCCATTTTCCGGGCTTTTGCCGATACTTGTTCCTTCTGTAGGCTGGACAGCTGACAGACAGGTGAGTCCTTGGAATAAATCTAATTCAAAGGACGGCAAGATATAGATTATTGTTCTTTTTAGCTAATATCCTAATATCTACTGTCAAAATGAGGTGTGCATATTTTGTTCACTTCCCTCAAAAACTTAGCGCCTGAACTCTAGAGAGTATATTCAGGGTCAACTTTTAGAGTGGGCTTGGCCGATAACCCTGTTATTGCGCATAGTATCTAAAAAGTTTAAATAAATTATAGCCAACGGAAGGCTCCTTACTTGGAAAATATTTTTACCTGTACAGGGTGATTCAATTTATGGTATTACCCTCGTATATTTCGTGAACATCTTATTATTCTTGTATATTCCCGGTATTAACTTTTCTTACGAGTTCTTGTTAATTATGATGTCAATGATATCTGCGTATACCTACATGATCAAACTATGTTTAAGCTGTGGAGACTTGGTTCACCTCAAATGCCGCTTGATCAAAGCTATTGTTTGGCATAAGAGTTTTGTGAGATGTCTCAGAAAACGCGCTCCAGCTCGTCGCGAGCCTGACCCTGCTATAATTTAGCCGGGGCAGACGTAGACGTATTTCATGTACTGTCGGCTGTCAATTGTGACACATCTAGATCACTCTCTGCTGATACCGACTTTATCCATCTGGGAACAGAGGCACCATGGTAAAGTTACTTTACAGTGACAAATAAATACTTTGACTGCACAGATATTTTGGCGTAAAAACTGTAAAACTAAAAGTGGTTGCCACATGAGTGACACCGAATCTTTCGAAAACTGAGAAATCTCAATTTCAATATTATTCAACCCAATACGGATGTTGTCTGATTCAATTAGTTTGCACACTCTAACCTGAGGTTAGGGCTAGCAGTGTTGCTGATTTCCTGATCCGAATATCTACAGAGGTCACCAGCTACTCCTTTGGTTGGTTGAGAACAACCACAGTATCAAAAGCCATCTTATGCCTGCATCGTTAGTAGCATTTTGCGTAATATATTGATAGCTCAAACAATGATTTTTATCTTAATATCTTTATAATACTGTGAGGTGAAAAATTTCAAGGTAGAGAAACAGACATGTATCTCTTCCCGACAAAGGTCCTACCGTAATGTATGCCCACAATAACATAATGGATTATAGATGTTGATCGGAACGACATCTTTCCAGTGACGACAATCAGGGTAAGCTTCAGAATTAGTGGGAACGATGTCCTGGGTCTCTCCAGCAGATCTTCGCGTTACTTCTAGAAGCGAAATTTCAGGGACACCGAACACATGAACCAAAACCAGAACGTCCCAGTATTACTCCTAGATTTTATAACTGACTGACATGAGTGTCCTTCAATCATATTTGTCAGAGTGACAACTTACGTAACATCGGCGTGCAATTTAAGTTGTCCTGTTATCAATCTTCAATATAAAGTTGTACAATGTTCGGAAATACAATCAATGGAGAAGGCCGTCAGCTCTTTCTAAATTTATTAGAGTATTTCCAGCAAGAGAATGAAAATAGTGGTTCCCTTTTACCCACTTCATGAGTACTGGAGAGAGTAGCAGATGCGCTGAAGATTAAGATCCGCCCGTGGTACGGAGACTCGATCTGTTCAATTATTTCATATGGCGTTGATGACGTAACCGCCAAGAATGGTAACTACAACGATATATTTCTACATCGCTATCACAAACCAGATGGAATATGCTATCACAAGCAAAATGTAACGCTAGTTTCGCATACATGCAACCTAATCTCTAACGAAAGATGGTACTTTAGCGGTTTACTAAACCGTCATGTGCATTCTGACAATCACAGGCAAAATGTAACGCTAACCTCGCATAAGGTAGTAAGAAAAAGATATACATTGGCGTTTTCCTAACCAGTCAGGTTCACAATTACACACCTGTTCTACGGTTATCACAAACTATGTGGAATTTGATGTTACAAACAGAGTGTAACGCTATCTATCTGTTATTATATATACGTATATTCTCTATCTGTTATTAATGAAACATGGTACTTCGACGGTTTCCTAAACTGTCATGAGCACTCTTACAATGCTGTTCCAAAGCTATCACAAACCAGATGGAATTTGCTGCCACAAGCAAAATGTAACGCTAACCTCGCGTGGAGCTGACTATCACAAGCTAGATCCATGTTGCTATCCCAAGCAACCAAGTCCAATGTTACAACGTTATTCCAAATGTGTCCGTTCATCCTTGGTGTGGAGCTGACTATCACAAGCAAGGTCCACGTTGCTATCCCAAGCAACCGAGTCTAATGCTTCCACGTTATCCCAAACGTCTTTTTTCGTCCTTGGTATGAAGTTGGCTATCACAAGCTAGGTCAAGGCTACTATCCCAAGCAACAGTGTCAGAACGTTATCCCAACTGTCGTTTCAAGTACAGTCTGCAACGCCGGTGAGGCGTGTGTGGGACTCCAGGTTGTCTTGAGGAGACCACCTAATACCCACTAAACCCTAACCTTCGCGTGGCCCGACTCATCAGCGTCTCGGTAGGCCATGTGTTGTGCGTGACCTGCGGTCTGCCACAACGTCTCCTCATGTGTTTCAGTCTCTGGGAACGCCGGGTTGGTTCCCTTTACCTCGCACAGTTCTATCGATGTCGTTAAGCGAGCATCGATATAGGGTTTGCTATGTTCTCTTGGAACTATTGTTTTCGAAAAATCAAGAGTTTCAAGTCCTCTGCTACTTGTATGTTACCTGGTCCTGATGGGTTATGGTCCTGGTTGGTCCTGGTCCTAATGGGTCCTAGTCCTGGTTGGTCCTGGTCCTGATGGGTCCTGTCATTGCTGGTCTGAATGAATGAATGAATCTTGAATTTTAGAGGCATCCCGGCCACCATAAGGAGCCAGTGCATAGGCCGCTTAAGCGGGCCCTTATGCACCTCTACAATACTTAAATCACAAGCCTCGCCCTTTTAGCGAAGTTGAGAATCGCCTTGAGTCCAAGCTCCTTTACGTCCTGAGGGTCCAAAGTAATGGACCCCAGTATAGTCTGCCTATAGTAGCTAAGAGCTTCACAGCGACACAAAACGTGCGCCGAGGTCTCTTCCTCTACTCCGCAGCGTTCGCATAAGGGATCCTCAGCCACCCCCATCACGTGCAGGTGCCGCCTTAACGTGTTATGGCCAGACAACAGTCCCACCAGCAACCTTAGGTTGGCTCTACCCAGAGATAGGCAGAAGCGTCCATCCTTAGCACTGGGCCCTTCAATGAGCTCTCGTGCCTGGCGGAGATGTCTAGAGATACTTCTCCATTTCTGAGAGTGTTGTCTTGCAACCCACGTCTCCATTTTCCTCCTAGCTTTATGCGCGGTTACTCCTAGAGCTGGCTCAGGACCAACGAGCTTGCTGGCTGATCCTGTTTTCGCCAGAGTGTCCGCCGTCTCATTGCCCCTTATCCCAGCGTGCCCCGGTACCCATATTAACGATACCGGATGCCTCGCTGCGAGGCAATCCAGAGCCTCCCTGCATTGCAATACAAGACTCGAAGTAATCTTACATGCACTTAGTGCTTTCATTGCAGCCTGGCTGTCGGATAAGATTGTTATTCTTCTCCTAGGCCCACCCTCCTCCAGAATGTGAGATACACAAGCCAGAATCGCAAAGATTTCCGCCTGGAAAATGGTGGTGTACTCACCGAGAGGCAGAGATAGCCTAGTTCTAGGTCCAGAGACCCCAGCACCTGAGCCCTCTTCGGTGACCGAGCCGTCCGTGTACCAGACCTGCCCGCTCACTTCGGAGAGTCCTCGGCTACCGGCGTCCCACTCCTCCCTCGTTGGGTACTCCACAATGAACTTGCGGTTGAAGCGATATTTAGGGGTAATACGATCACCCCTGCTTAGAAGGACGGGGTCCTCCCTATCTAATTCGACTAATATGGCAGTATGCCCCTTGACCGGATTCAAGAAAGCCCAGCTGCCCTGACTCCACAGTCGATGAGCGACTACTCTCGCTTCACCGCGGATCACCAGATCCAACGGTGGGAGATCCAACAGAGCTTCCATTGCACTCAATGGCGTTGTTCGCACTGCGCTTGTAATGCTAATACAGGCCAAACGCTGAATTTTATTGAGTTTGGCCTTAGTTGACTCAGTTCTAATGCAAGGCCACCAGACCAGGGAGCCGTACAAGAGAGATGGACGTACTATCGTCGTGTAGAGCCAGTATACCACTTTGGGTTTAAGCCCCCACCTTACACCGACAACACGTCTACAAGCCCACATCGAATTGCGAGCCTTGCTAACCTTGTGTTCCACATGCTCTCTCCAGTTCAGTTTGCAGTCCAGGATAATTCCCAGATATTTCACTGACTGGGACAAAACTAATCTAGTCCCAAAGAAGGTAGGCATGACCAGTCCGTCAAGCCTTCTTCTCCTAGTGAATAGGATCAGCTCGGTCTTTTCAGCATTAACAGAAAGATCGACTTCCCTACACCACGATTCCACGGAGCGCAGAGCGCCCTGCATAATTTCCGAGACTGTTCTACAGAAACGCCCCCTAACCACTATGCTTACGTCATCAGCATAGGCTTGCACGTAGACACCCATACTGTTGAGCCTAACGAGCAGTTCGTTCACCACGATACACCACAGTAGGGGTGACAGAACTCCACCCTGAGGGCAGCCTCTAGCTACGTTCACGCTGCAGCTTACGTTATTCAGCATAGCTGTTGTTACCCGACCCTCCAGAGTAGAGAGGACCCAATCTATTAGGATTGATCCAACCCCGTGTCTAACCAAGGCCTGTCTGATAGAGTCGGTTGTGGTGCAATTAAATGCACCTTCAATATCTAAGAAGGCCACGAGTGCCACTTCTCATTGCTGGTCTAATGCTTGTCTTGCATTTTGGCCTCGAGTGCATCCAGGCGGGTTATGATGGCTTGCATCATAGCTAGCAGTCTGTCATCGCCGTGTTGCTTCTGCGCCAGTAGCAGTGGCGGCTGCTGGGGCAGAAGTGGACTTAGTTTTCTTCGCTTTTTCAGCGTAAGACG